ATAATGAAAGACAAAGAAAAAATGGAGGAAAACGTGGGAATTTATTGATAGATGAATAATAATTTGATAATAGTGAATAGTAATGTAAATATTATAATATAACCCTTTCCCTTTACTGAACCAAAATAAATAAAATAAAATTGATTTATTAAATATTTTAAATATTTGACGCTTATTGAGAAAGATTTAAAAAAGATGTAACTCAAAATATACTAAAAAAAGATACCAAGTGAAAATGAACATCTCAACCATATAAAAAAAAGTAATATCATAAAAGAAAATATAAAAGTATTATCGTTAAGCGTTAATTACTAATGATTATCCCGATGGTTAAAAAAAAAATTAACTAATGATTATCAGTATAGTGCAGTGTAAGTGGTTTGTATATTTTTATTTTTACACGTAAAAATACTAATAAATTCATATTTGAGAATAAATACAATGGAGTGATGGATGGATGAATGTTTGCGTTTAATTATTTAATTCAAATATTGATGATCGATGCTACAATTTATTATTAATATTAATCACGACCAAAATAAAAGTCTTCAGTTTTTATAATCGAATACACGTGATGTTTATCCCCATTTTTAAGGGTTTGTTTGGATTTCAATAAAAGAAACAATCTTTTTTGTAAACAATAATCTTTTGTTGTTTTTGTTGTTAATCGCCATAATAAATGATTTTAAATATAAATAGGGATGCGTCTCGTTTTTTTCATTCACCATATTTTTAAAAATTTTTAAGAAACGCTTTAAGCATTTTGACAAAGTTAATTAAATTATTTTAATGAAACAATTATCTCATGATCAATTAATTTTTATCCTTAAAATCCATTAAATTATTTTTAATTTTGGGATTTTTATCCTTAAAATCCTTTAAATTATTTTTAATTTCGAAATAGTTGGAATAGACTTCTATTTCGAAAAAATTGAAAAAAAATTTACGAATTTACTTTCTTATTTCCCATTATTAATAATATCCTTAAGATGAATAATATTTTTACAAAAAAAAATTCAACGGCACACATCAAATATTGTACTATGAGAAATGTATAGAATGGAAACTGCCAAAATAAAAATAATTTACAAATTACAGAAATTCGCAAACATCGTAAATTCTTTTGATTAACTCACTCTCAAGTTTTCTTTTTTATATTTAAAAATCCAACCTTTTTTTAGACTAAAAACCATTTTATAATTTCATAGTTCATAAATTTAGTTATTGTTTAACATTTATTAATATGAGTTTTATGACTACAAAAAAAAAAAAAACTGAAGTATCTTAAATGAATTGGTAATTGAAAAATGTGATAAATCACAAAGTAACAATTTTCTCTACTGGTTTGACTGGTCTGGTATTGACTTATGTAAAACCCTTTTTATAGTACATAAATTAATTTTTATTCCTTTATCGTCTCGTCCATGTATCAAATATTTGACAAAAAATGAACTCATTAAAAATTCAAATAAATTGAAAATATGCAACAAAATATTTTAGTGGAATATTTTAATTTTTTTTTACTATAAAATTTGCCATATGCTGCTCACAACCAATCATACCAGACTCTTGTTGTCATACTCTTCCTTTTTCTTTAACACACATATTCAATATACATTTATTTTCCTATTTTCTAAATTCTTTTTTTTTCAGTCGTAATATAAATAAAATATGCTGAACCGATTTTTCACATTAGATATTTTTCTTTCTCAATGTACAGTTAATTTCTTTTCATTTTTCATTTTATCCATTCTTCACCCATCAAATATTTTTCCTTTCTTTCCTATGACTTGGACTTTTTTTCATGGACTTTGGAATATATATCTAATTCTTACTTTTTATATTTTTCCATTTTCTTTATTGGTCTTATGTAATATAATTTTCTTTTTTTTCCACTTCTCTTTAAAATAATGAAACTAATTTAAAGAATGTTTTCGTACTTTATTAATAATTTGCGTGCATAAGTTAATGAAAGGAAAAATTAAAAATCATAAAACCACTTTAATAATAATAATAATAAAGTTTAAGTGAAAATTATTATTATTACTTATAGAATAGTAGTCATAGTTGTAATTTTACTCATTATTATAATTTAAATTAATTCAAAGCCAATTAATTTTCAATTAATATGGGGCCATGATCATGGGAAAAATTAATGGAGAGACTTAACTTTACAAGTAGCTCGAGAGGTGGCAATTACCCAATTACATTTTTGACCCAACAAATATTATATTAAAATACGGAAAATATACACTATAAAAGAAATATTTTCGTGCTCAAAACATTACATGATGCAACTTCAATTGATGCAGTGGAATTTGCGAAATATGTAAACTTCAATATTATTAAATTCATAATCTTTTGTATTTAAAGAAAGACATACTTTGGGATTCTGGTAAAAAATTGTGCACGAAGGGAGATCCAGGTTATATTTATGAGTACGAGAAGTGGAGAGAACAATATGAAGTTGTAAAAACCAGTAATAAAATAACTAAAATAATTAAAAATAATTTAAAATATTATTAATAATAATTCAACACAAACTATCAATTAAGTTAGTCATAAATGTAAAATATTTAGTATACAATAAAGGAAGTTCAGTTGGTTCAACAAAATTTAAATGGGAAGGTGGTAATTTCAGAAAAAGTCTGTTTTTGATGAGAGGTCTTATTCTTTTTAGTTTTTACAATTCAAGTTTACTTATTATTAATGGAAAAGAATTAACAAATAAATAGTTGGCAGATCAAATAATATAAGAGAAAATTTATGAATTCCTAAGGAGATCACACTATCAAACTTTACTAGGGATAATGTGCAAAATAAAATACAAAAGGCCATGATTCTTATTAGATTATTAATTCTACTTAATAATATAACGAAGAAATATATAAAAATATGTAGAAGAAATTTAACATAGTATTTGTAGATTATTAATTTTATTAGGAAGATTGTGTAATTGTAAAAGTGAATGTAATAGATGTAGTAATAACAAATGTCGTAAAAAACAAGTGAGAAATGTAATAGAGATGTCACGATGGTAGTAAAATACAAATTGCCACTATAAAAAATTTATAATATGTTCAAAAATTTATTCACAATGCATAAATTCAATAATAAAAAAGAGAACAAACTATTGAAATCCTAAACTTAAATAATAGAGAAAGCCATCCAGATGAAAACAAAAAAAAAAAGTATTTAGCTAAATTTCTCGTAGCTGAAATTTACCTATCACTATGTTAAGTGGATAACTCATTTATCAGATATTATAAAATCATCTCATCCATTATACATTAACCACATGGATCATGCATTGTTTCCGATCATGCCTCGGCAATTGAAAATAATTTAGATAAAGTGACGGTCAATGTTAATCATACGACCTGGAAATATCTATTTCTGAAAAGGAACAAAAGAAAATGATTTGAAATAAATTTTTCCAAGTAAAAGAAATATATTAGACTTATTATCATTAATAGATAAATTTTTATACACTAAGTAAAGTAATCTTGTTTCCACAACCGCTTTGGCACAAAACCAAATTTCGTTTCGTTTTATTCATTGTTTCATAACCAATTATTGTAATAGATGAAAATAAATTATTATTTTAAATAATTAAAAATATCAAATGAAAAATACGAAAAATTAAATATATTTGCTAAAGAATAAATTAGATTTTAAATTATTTTTTTTATATTTAATAGATAAAATTAATAAATTTTTTTGCCCCACCTCAATAATCAAAAATAAATAAGATTTAGTAATTTTAAACTTCATTAATGTATTGAGAGAGACAAATTTTACTAAATATCTCAAATGGCAATATAAATTAAAGTGAAATAAAAATACATTCGATGCATACACGCGATCAATGGTCATTATTACCTTGAAATTCTTGATCGTGACGATATCATATTGAATTTATCTACAATTCATGTTTACGAGAAATAAAATTTATTTATTAATAAAAGATAATTTTATTCAGTGACTATTGAATTCAAATACAAGTAAATTTATAATTGAATGGATCCGTTAATTGAGCTTGTATGTTTGAAATTTCACAGGCTATAAATTCCGCAATATTCGTCATCATCTCCATATCAATTCTCTGTGTATAATTTAACAGAGTTTTAATTTTTACTTCTATCATAATTACGATTATTATATGTTATAAAAATCAATACGCGTTGTGTTGTTATGTTGAATGATAATAAAATTGTTTAAATATTCCATTTTCACGTTTTATTATCGTGACGTGACAAAATATGAATAAACGTAGAATTTACTACGAAATTTAAAATTTATCAACCCATGACTGTAACAATATGAACTCATCATTCTAAAATTCATTTTTAATTCAGTTTCAATAGTACTAAATAGAATAAATTGGATAGAAAGAAGAATGCATGAATTATTAAATAAATAAAAAATAAATGAACGAAAAATAAATTGATAACTCATTTTTAACGAACGAAACATCCAACAAAGGTGATTCTTGAATTAAATATATATATATATATTACTCAACATGCAAATACTATACTAAATATATTTTCCGATCTGGCATCGTATTTAAAATATTATTTTAAACATTATTTGGATTATTCTTCAATATAAACCTGATTCCATATTCTTCAATAACTTTCAAATGTCCATCACTTAATGCAAATAGTCCAATAATCTTTTTATTTCCTCATCCTCCTTTATAACACCACCTTTCAAAAATTTTCTTAAACTATCATCTCAAATATCTCCATTCTAATTTCAATAGTTATAATAATTCCTTAGAATTTATTCCACAACCAAATGAAAATTTTCTTATTAAAATTATTATTATATATTGCTATTACTTGTTCAGGACTTATCTTTGTTAAAGTTAATTCAGTAATCTTTATAAAATAATTTAAAATTGCTGAAAATGTATCAAATGTAATTGTGGAATATAAGTCTAGACAAATATTTCTTAAATTTGTTTTTAACCGTTTCAAGAATTTTTTAATAAATTATTTGGGATGTTCATCATCATCATATGTATGAATAAAGCTGAAGCTACTTAATCGAGTAAATGATGAAGCTAAAGATACTCGAACCGATCTATGTAATCCATCGCGGTCTTCAAATTTCACAATTGGTGATGATTTCCCCCAAAAAAATAATAAAAAATAAAAAGCTACTGAGCGCAAACAGAGACTGTAATGTTTCTTTTAAACTAATAATAATCCAAATACACAATTAGAAAGTGAACAACGACGACTGACTATTATCAATAATAGATAAATTTTCTAAATGTTTTGAACACTAATAAGTTCATAGAAACAAATTAATTTTAGGAATTCATATAATGGATAAATGTCTTCAGGCTCTTCTATCAACAAAGTAAAGCTTTCTAATTTCTTAAATACTTTCGAGGCACCATAACTTGAAAAATGAACTAATTAAATCACCATGATTTGTAAAATATTTTGAATACCATCATAAAAATTTCTGGGACTTCCACTGTTTTAAAAGAATCCAAAAATGTAACGATTTATTATTATGGATTTGAATATCTCACGAAATAATATTCTCGACAACTTTGTCACTAATATTATTATTCTTGATGGTGCCATCTCTTATGTGCTCTATCGCAAAAAGAGGAAAAAATCCAAACCAATTGAAATGCTTATATCGGAATCCGTACTCTATTGCCATGATTCGTTCAATATTTAAAGTTAGTGAAGTCAATTTGGTAACCTTTGGGCAATAATTTAAAATTGTATCACTTGTAATTGCGAGATAAGATTCTGGATGAATATTTCTTAAATTTGTATTGGCCGTTTAGAGATTTTTTATAATAAATTCTTTGAGTAAATGATGAAGCCAAGGCCAAGGATAAACTATCTGATTTACAAAATCCAAACAATTTTGAAAATAAAGTTCTTGAAATGAAATAATTTGTCCAATTGATGATGATTTATCTTTGAATCTGAAAAAATCTATTTGTTTTAAACGAAGTTTCTTTGAACACTAATTAGTTTTGCTAATATTTGTTCTCGAAAAGACGAATCAAATCCCAAATCCCATTTAAAATATTATCGAAAATAAATGCTAATGATTTATATAATGGGCTAATCAGTTCAGAATCATCCCTTATCTAATTGCTATAATTACGAAAATTTCTTGAAATTTTTTGGATCCAATAACGATTTATTATTAATTTAAATATTTCAAAATAATATTCCCGATTTGGCGTTGGTAATTCCTCATAAGCATCATCCTCACTATTATTATTATCTTTGATCTGAACCAATAATTTTTTTTGGACGAATTTGTGTTGAATACAGTATATGGAAATAAATAAATTAATTATTGATTATAAATTTATGAATGAATGATGGATTCTCAAAAATGCTTGAGGTGGTGATGATGATAAATTAAATCCATCTTGAATAAGTAAAGTTCTAGCTTGATTATCCATGCATGATATACAGTTCTAATACATAATGTTTTCTTCCTCAAGTCCATATCATCCTTGCAACAGTCTTGACTCAAAGTTAATTCCCTAAATCTTGAGATGATTGAACATTATAATTAGATAATATCACGCGATGCTTGTTACGTTGCACAATTTGTGGTAAGAAAATTCTAAACTTCGTTCTTGATATAAATACTAAAAAATGCATCAAAAACAGCACTTGGGAAGTATTAGAGCAGAATTTAAGTAATTTAAATATCAAAAATTTTTAAGTATAAGATGATCAAAAATTAATTTATTATTTTACTGGACTGGCTGGGTGGTTAATTATCAGAATAGATTTATATTTTTGAATTTGTAGCCCAAGATTTATAAGAACGCGAAAGTTGATACAAATTCAACTTTGTTCTTTAATATAAAATTCTTTCAATTTGGCATATTATATCCAACTAAGCCTTTTCTTTGATGTAATAAATCCGATTTTCTTTATGGCCTCGAAGTTACACCGATTTTAAAAAAGTCAAATTTATGAGTTTAACGTTTTGTCTATTTTAAAATAAATAAAAAAAATTTAACATTTCATAATTCTTATATTCAACGTAGCAAAATAATAAATGAAACTCATATTTCAGATTTCTTCTATATCAAATTGAAATCCACTCTATATTCTCTAATTACTTTAAAATGTTCATCACTTAATGTAAATTCCCACGCTGTACGTCTTACAGTCCTTCACAACACCACCCTTCAAAAAAATTTCTTAAACTATCAGAACTGAATGAACGCATTCTAATCTCGATAGTTTCAAGTGATTCTGGTACATTTTCGGCCATTTTGCATAATAATTCATTAGCATCCGATTCTTTTCCACAATCGGATGAAAATATCCTTAATTCATTAAAATTATTATTAAATACTGCTATTACTTGTTCGGAACTTAAATTTAGTAGAGCTAATTCGGTTATCTTTGTACAATAACTTGAAATTGGTGAAAATATATCAAATGTAGTTGTATTATTTAATTCTAGACGAATATTTCTTAAATTTGTACTTGCCGTTTCAAGAATTTTTTTGATAAATTCTTGAGGATACACTTTATATAGATGAACAAAAATGAAACTACTTAATCGAGTAAATGATGAAGCCAAAGATCACCAATTGGACAATTTATTTCACTTCGAGAACTTCATATTGAAGTTTGTATTGGAATTCATATATCGGATTGTTTAAGATTTCCCTCTAAAACGAATAAAACTTACTGAATATAGATGAAGACTCTTTAATGTTTCTTTTTGACTAATAATATTCCATAATAATAAACCACAATCTACATGACGAGCACTAATTGATAGATTTTCTAAACGTTTTTGAACACCAATAAGTTTTGCTAATAATTCCACTGAATTATTTGAACTCAATTTCAAATCCATATTTAAAATATTATCACAAATTAATGTTAAAGATTCGTATAATGGACAAATCGGTTCATAATTTTTTATCTTCAAAGCAAAACCTTCTAATTTCTTAAATACTTTCGAGGCACCAGGTAAATTGAGAATTGAACCAATTAAGCCACTATAATTTAGAAAAATTTTAGAAAAATTTTCGGGAACTCTTGCCAATTTAAAATAATCCAGAAATGAACAACGATTTATTATTAATTTACATGTCTCATAAAATAATATTCTCGATTTAATGATGGTGGTTTCGTTATTATTGTTATTTTTATAATCTTTTTTTGTTTTTTTTTAACCGTCGGGGCATATTGTTATTATCTTTATCTGAATTAATAATTCGTTGTGAATATATGGAAATAAAATGAACCAAATTATTAATTATAAATTTATGAGTGAATGATGGGTAATCGAAAGTGGCTTGAGGTGGTGATAATGATAAATCAAATCCGTTTTTAATAAGTAAAGTCCTAGCTTGAACATCCATACATGATATATAAGATCGAATACATAGTGCTTTCTTCTTTCTCAACTCCTTAAAATATTCTTGACCAAAAGGTAATCGCCAAAGTATAGGTATAGTAACTTTACACCAGATTCGATTAACTAATAACGATGAATATAAATCTTGTGTTGATTGAATATTATTTAAAATCATAATCAATAATTCTGTGGAAATTTTAGTTGCCATATTTTTTTGCCTAAGAAATATAAAAGAAAAAACTTTTTTAAATAATCGATTGGTTACCAAATTAATAATCAAAAATACAACTTCAACCATGCAGTGAAATTGTTATATAAATTAACCAACATATATAAGTTTGTGTTGCGTGGTGCATATATTTATATTTTTTTGTGGAAGATTGTACATGTACAATCTAAACAGTATATAATTAGTGATTTCGTCTTTTTTTTTGTTATTTTTATTATTATTATTAATACATTTGTTATTACTATTGTATATTTTCTTGCTAAATACATTTATTAGTTATCATTACGTATTTTGTTGATATATAAAAAATATCTAATTAATTTATTATAATTATAGCTATTTTCAAAATTGTCCATCAGGTGTTTGTGTTACAAAAAAAATTACTGCGGATACTGCGAATACTGGATAATAAAAATATTTTAAATCAATAAAAAAAATGTGTTTTTTATGTTATATTTTAATTGTTTAAATATTGACGTTTATTTTTATTGAGTTTTGAAATATATAACAGTAGATTTCTTGCCTTTGATTTCAGAGATTACTATTCGCAATTTTGAAAGATTACAAGATTACAAATATTCTCTAATCAGTTTTGAATTTATAGATGCCAAGAGAATACAGTGAAGACCTATGCTGGCGAAGAGTTTATTTAGATAGTGAAAATTATAATGAACAAGAAGGTTCCAAAACTTTATCAATTAGTAAATCTACTGTAAATTTTATTCTCAAAACATTTGCAAAATGGGGTTGTGTAATAAATCTTTTCAAAGGAGCACCTGATGTAAAAAGAAATTAGCAATAAAAGAACTTCAAATACTCCAAAAACTTGTAAAAGAAAAGGTTGACTGGTATTTAGATGAACTTTTAGTAGAAATGGAAAATCAAACTGGAAAGCCTATATCTGTATCAGAACTATGGTGTTCTTTACAATACTGTGGTACGACTCATAAAAAGGTTTGATTATTATTAGATTTCTATTTTTATATTGTAAACATTATAATGTTTCTTTAACAATTTTTTTTTTAAAGTTACAAAAGTCTGTTCATGAAAGAAATAGTTCATAGTAATTTTATAACAACTATTGGAAATAATTATACTGTATATCTGAACAATTGATTTTTCTTGATGAAAGTACTAAAGATGAACATACACTTTCACATCTTTACGGATCTCTCCTACTTATACATGTGCAAAAAAAAATATAGTTTTGTTGTTGAAAGTGGTATACAATCCTTCTTGCACTTACATTAGATGGATTTATATCTTTAGATATTATGGAAGGAAGTCATGATAAAAAACGATTTACAGATTTTGTTCTTTCACAAGTAGTAATTAATTATTTTATAGATATTTATTTTTTTTTCTTGGGAATTGGTTACTGTATTGATAAAATATTTTAATATAATAATTATTAGCTTCCTTTGATTAATCCTTATCCAGAAAAGCATGGTGTAATTATTCTTGATAATGCAAAAATTTATCATGAAGAAAGTTTAATTGAAATTATTGAAGAATTGGAATGTCATATTGTTTATCTTCCACCTTATTCCCTGATTTTAACCCTATAGAAATTGCATTTGGCACTGTTAAAAGTTGAATGAAATGAAATCAAGATTTTATGAATGCACATAATGATCCAATATATGCTTTAATGATTGCATGTGCTCAAATTGCACTACAAACTATTTTAAAGGTTCAATATATTTTTAAAAAATAAATAAAATCAATAAAGAAAATACATTTTGCAAATTTTAAAGATTCAATATATTTTTTTAAAAATAAATAAATAGTCACTTCATAATATATATATATTATGAAGCAACTTAAATAAATGATATAAAACTTTATTATAATTTATCATATTATATAACAAAATCTCAATATCCTGTGATCTAGTTTTTGTGATCTGCTCATTCGATTTTCCTCATTGAGGCAAATATTTTGGTAGTTGTTTTATCAAAATTGGACCTCTCTACACAAAGTTAATGTTCATCATTTGTATTTATCAGTAGATAAAATTCTATTCTAATTTTTCATGTTTTTCGTTGAGATTTCACTAACCTGTGATCCAATTTTTGCAAAATATAGCTCATTATATTCCTCTCATTGAGGCAAACATTTTGGTAGTTTGATCAAATTGGACTTCTCTATGTAAAGTCAACATTCATTATTAGGTATTTATCAATAAATAAAATCTATAATAATTTTTCACATTACATAAGGAGATCTTAATAACCTGTGATCTGGTTTTTTATGATCTGTTTATTAGATTCTCCTTATTTGTGTGAACATTTTGGTAGTTGTTTCATCAAAATTGGACTGCTCTACATAAAGTTAATGTTCATCATTTGGTATTTATCAGTAGATAAAATTCTTTTCCTATTTTTCATGTTTTTCATTGATATTTCACAAACTTGTGATCAATTTTTTGTGAAATATAGCTTATTAGATTCCCCTCATTGAGGTGAACATTTTGGAAGTTGTTTCATAGCATTTACAGTTATATCTTCTTCTAAAATGAATTTTCCAATGACTTATAAATTCCATTGCTATTATGCATATTATCTAATTCTGATAAAAATTCACCAATAGTTGGATATTTAAAAGATGATTCAGAAAGATTAGAAACTGATTTTTCGAATGGAAAACAAGAATTAATATCAGGAAATGAAAAAGAAAAAGGAAAAATCCATTGAGGAGTTGTAGTAGAACCAGAAATAGCAGGAATAGAAACGTTATTAAGAGGTATTGATGTTGAAGCAACTGATTTTGTATGGATTGTTCCAAAAGTAAGATAAGAAGAAGGTAAATCAATTGTTGTCATTTCTCACATCTAATTTATAAAATTGTAATAAAGGTCAATATAAAATATAAAAAATTAAAATTAAAATAATATAATAAATAATACAATATCCCAAGTCCACAATATTAATCGTGCTGGTGTCAATTGAAGGTATTTGTTATTTTCAATATAACAAGGGGTATTATGAATATTATTGATATTTGTTTCTAATTTCTGTAAGTATTTGTACTTGTTCAAGTTCTGTTTTATCTAACTGAAATTCTTTTAGTACATAAGATATTTTAGATTTTTTTTTGAATGTTTTTTTCTTGAACTTCTTCATATGAACTACTTATTTCATAAGTGATAGGTTGCGGGCACATCTCATATGAGTTAGTCCGAGTCTCATCTTTTCAAATAAACATTAGAATAAGTTGCATATTTTGTATTATGTAATTTTATGTAATGTAAAAGACTTTCTCTTTTTCTAATTAATAAATTTGAGGCAAGGCCTTGCTGGAACAAAAAAAAATGAACTACTTATTTCATTTTTTTTCTGTCTATTGATAATAAAATAAATAATTTACAAAATAAAATAGGATAAAATAATCATAACATTTCAAGAAAAAAAAAAATTAACAATATATTCTAAAATAAATTTACTTACTGATGTAACTCTCTTATGATTATATTATAAATTATTAGATTTCACATTAATATTTATAAAATTACCATATGTTGTGATTTAGATAAGTCCTTGTATTTTTCAATAAAAGCAACAAAATCATCCTTATCATCTAAAGCCATTACTTGTTCATAACCATTTACTTTATATGTAGTAATATAATCATCTTTGCTAATTATATTTTCCATATTTTTGTTTATATAATCTAATAAATCTTCATAAAATAATGTAGAAGTTTGTACATTAAGCTTTATCCATTTTCCTGATGAAAATTCATTATTTTTTTTGATAATAACTTGAGTATTGACTTTTATTAGATTTGTTAGACTTTGATTATCTTGAATTTTTTTATTTTTTTATTTTTAGAACATTCATACTTTGAATAACAATCAGAACAAAAACTAATACTAAATTTCATAGTAAAATCTAAATCATATTCAAATTTTTCACTTGCCTCTTTAAGAAAAGTAAGTTGTGTTGAAAGTAATGTATTTGAAATATAATGCTTATATATTTGATAACCTTTTTTAGATTGGTCAACATTTGTATTAGAACATAAAGGTTTTTTAGTTATATCACAATTACAAGTTTCCTGTAATAAATCTATAAAACAATATAAACATTTTTGACAATTTAAACAAGTACCAATTTGGTAAAAAGAAGACATAGAGATATATGCAGATTGCAAAATATATAAAGATCACAGATCACATCACGAAATATAAAGATTGCAGATCAAAAAACTATATTATTACTCATATTTTTATTGGTTAAAAAAAATCACTTACTTGTTTTCTGTTTTCACTATATTTATTTATTTTGATCACTTGATTGGTTGATTGGACCATTTCGAAAATAGCAATAATTGAGAAAAAGAGAAAGAAGAAAATCCTTTCATTTATTTAAATCTAATTTTTTTTAAAAAATAAAATAACAAATTATATTCTAGTAACTTTTTTTTTTCTTTGTAAAAAAAAATTTTATTGAATTAAAATATTTTAAGTTGTGAGATGGCACTTGAATTGCTATTCAATTTTACAGTAAAATCAGGTGGATTGTACAGTATGAAAGATTTCTTTAAATGAATATAACACAAATTTTATAGGTATACTCCCTTGCCAAAAGTGAAAATTTTTAAAAAATTACAAAAATTAAAATGTTGATTGTGACACAATAAGTCAAACAAACTTCTTTATATTGTGGCAAAGTAAATTGGTAATTATACAAATTTCCAAAAGATATCATGTAAGGATGAAGGATAACACACAAAGGATGAAGGATAACAAACAAAAGATTAAGGATTGAGTATGAAGGATGATGGGTAAAAACTGAATAAAGGTGAAAATGAATAATAGAAGTAGCAATCTCTCAGAGTCTTAATAGTCATAATAGGACTTTTGACTTTAGTTACTTAATAATTATGTATAGTTTTGAGCATCAATATTATTGGATAGAAAAGTAAACTTCCTTTAGAAACGGTAAAATAGACACACTACCTATCATAATATTTTTGTTGTTAAATGATACTTTACTTTTAAATTTGTACCTTTTATATTTTAATAAAATTATCTTTTGTATTGTGATATTGTGAAATATTTTTAATACTATGTTAACACTTTTACTTCACCTTACTCACTAAGCCTTCAGATTAAAAATAAAGAATTAAAGAGAATTATATTATATTTATTATCTGTTTTGAGATAGGCAAGTTTAGATCAACTGATTGCTTGATCTACTGACATATAGAGCATATTAAAAAAAGTAGTTTGTGAAAGACTAACTTCGAGACTTATAGGTGAAAGTATTCAAAATACTCTGCACATTTGTGACAATAGGATTTTCCTAAACTAGAACTATTATTATCTTTATGATATATATTGCATTAAAATTAAGTAGTAAATATCAAAGTGAATTTCAAAAAAAAAAAATAAATAAAAATTTTTTTGTATTTGTGCGCATGTTTTTCAATATTTATTTTTATTAAATTTTGGCCATTTTTATTTACATCTATGTTAAGTCCTAATTTTGACTAAATACAGCAAAAAGTATTTCTAATTAAAGTTAGAGATATTCAATTATTCCATGCACTTATGTATTTATCGATTGATATTGCTATTCTATGGCAAATATTAATTTGGAATTGATGTATTTAATATTTTCCATGCCATGGTGATAAAAGATTTTGATCTTTCTATTTCTATTGATCCTCCAAATATCAAGTAAATACTTCATTATTTTAAAGTAAATTGAATTTTTAATTTATTTTAACGATAAAATCAATAAGATATTTATAAATATGAAAAAAATCATAAAATGATAAAACTATATCAAAGCGTATTAATCAATATTACTTAGTAAATTTTCTTCATTAATAAAATTATTATACAAAAATTGCATAAAATTCATATACCGTTGATAAGTTGAATATGAGAATATTGAAATAAGAAATCACTAATTCAATGAAACATATATCTCAACAAGTAAATACTATAATTAAATATATTTTTTTTCCATATATTATTCTTCATATTCTTCAATAATTTTAAATATTCATTCACTTAATGTAAATAGCCCCCTACGATCCTTACATTTTACAATAATCTTTTTGGTTCCTCCTCCTCCTTTACGACACCATTCTTTAAAAAAATTTTTTAAACTATCGGAACTAAATATCCCCATTTTAATTTCAATAGTTTCAATTGATTCTGGTACATTTTCGACCATTTGGCATAATAATTTATCAATATCAAATCTTTTTCCACAACCAAATGAGAATTTCCTTAATTCATTAAAATTATTATTTAATATTAATATAACTTGTTCAGAACATAAAATATGTAAAGTCAATTCAGTAATTTTTGAACAATATTTTAAAATTGCTGAAAATATATCATATGGAATTGCGGAAATTAAATCTAAGCGAATATTTTTTAAATTTATATTGGCTGCTTCAATAATTTTTTTAATAAATTCTTGAGGATACTCACGACATTTCTGTCTAAAATGAAAACTACTTAATTGAGTAAGTGATGAAGCAAAAAATAAACTACCCGATCTATACAATCCAGAACAATCTTCAATATAAAAATCTTGAAGTGAAATAAATTGTCCAATTGGTGATGATTTCACCTCGAAATGATAAAAACTTACTAATTTTAAATAAAGACTTCTTAAGGATTCTTTTTGACCAATGATAGCCCATAAAAATGAATTGAAATCTAGATTACTTCTAGCAACAATTGATAAATTTTCTAAACGTTTTTGGGCATTAATAAGTTTTGCAAATAATTGCATTTGAGAATATGATTTAAATTCCAAATTCATATTTAAAATATTATCACAAATTAATGCTAATGATTCGTATAATAGATGAATCGGCTCATTTTTTCCTACCATCGAAGTAAAACTTTCTAATTTTTTAAATACATTCGGGGCACCAGGTAACTTGAGAATTGAACCAATTGAATCACTATAACTTAGATAATATTTCTCATAACATAAGTTAACTCCCACCAACTTAAAACAATCCAGAAATTCGCAACGATTAATTATTAGTTTGCATATCTCACAAAATAATATTCTTGATTTGTCGATGACAATTTCATAATAATTCTCATTATTGTTATTATCTTGATCTGAACCAGTAATTTGTTGTGGAATAATTAGTGGTGAATATATGGAAATAAAATAAACTAAATGATTTATGACAAATTTATGAACGAAAGATGGATAATCAAAAGTGACTTGAGGTGGTGATGATGATAAATCAAATCCATTTTGAGTAAGTAAAGTTCTAGCTTGAGTATCCATACATGATATATAAGTTCGAATACATAATGCTCTCTTCCTCAACTCAATATAGCCCATCCGACATTCATGACCAAAAGGTATTTCCCAAAGTATAGGTATAGTAACTTTACACCAGAATCGATTAACTAATAATGATGAATATAAATCTTGAGTTGATTTAACATTATTTAAAACCATAATCAATAATTCTATGGAAATTTTCGTCGCCATTTTTTTTCAGAGAAATAAAGAGAAATCTAAAAAAAAAAAATCAGTGTGTAATGTCTTTTCTTGTGTAATGATTACCAATCAGAAACAGAAATTGATAATATAATATATATGGTTACTCTTAACCTACTCATCATGTGATCGTGAGATTTAAATATTTAAAATGAAAATCCATCACTCTTTATTTTAATGGTGATAATAAATCTTTTAATGTAATGAACGTTATGCGCAATCTCCTAAGTTTTTTATTACCTTCTCATACTTTTCAAAAAATTTGCTTAGGCCATTAGCGGATTATAACTGCCAATGAACTAAAAATTTAATCTAATGAAATGTCCTGATCCAATGAAAATTAAATTACAAGAAGTAACAAACTAAAACACTCCATATTTGTCCCTGTTCTCTAAATATAAATAAATTATCTATTCAGCTGATATCAAGCAAATACTTCATAATCTTTAATATTTTAAAATAAAATGACAATTATATTTTTAATTGTTAAATTGGTTTAATTTTAACGCTAATTAATAATTATTATTAATTTTAATAATAAATTTAGGCAAATAAATGTAAAATATATCAAAAAAATATTACTTGATAAATTGTTTTTGTTAACAAAATTATTATCTAACGTTTTATAGATATTATATGATGTTTTTAAATATTTTCAATATTTTTATATTTAACTTACAAAATAGTAAATCATTCAATAAAACACATAGATATTATGACTAAATATTTTTTTTAAAATTTCTTCTATTTTAATTTGAACTCCAATCCATATTCTCCAATAATTTTAAAATTTTCATCACATAATGTAAATAGTCGCGTTTGTTTTGTACGTTTTTAATTTCTCCTCCCTCTTTTCGACACTACCCTTCAAATAATTCTTATCAGCATTAAATATCTTCATTCTAATTTCAATAGTTTCGAGTGATTTTGGTACATTTTTGGCCATTTAGCAAAATAATTAATCAACATCAAATCCTTCTCCATAATCAAATGAAAATCTTCTTAATTCGTTAAAATAATTATTGAATATTGCTATTACTTGATCATTGCTTAAAATATATAAAGCTGAATTGGTACAATAATTTAAAATTGCTGATAAAGTATCAAATGGAATTGCGGAATCTAAATCTAGACAAATATTTCTTAAATTTGTCTTGTTCGTTTCAAGAAATATTATAAAATTCTTGAGGATACCTAGTTAATGAATAAACCGAATGAAAATAGTGAAAGCTATTTAATTGAATGAATGATGAACCAGAGAATAAACAATCGCTTTAAGCAATCGGGAACAATCTTCAATATAAAAATCTTGGAGGGAAATAAATTGTCCAATTGGTGATGAACTCCACATTAAAATAATAAAAAGTACTGATTTTAAACGAATAATTTAATTTTTAATGTTTCCTTTTCATTAATGATAGCCCAAGATATTGAATCATAATCTAGATTATAATAAGCAACAATTGATAGATTTTCTATACGTTTTTGAACGATGATAAGCTTTACTAATAATTGCTCTTGAGAATATGAATCCAATTCCAAATCCATATTTAAAATATTATCACAAATTAGTGCTAATGATCTATATAATGGACGAATCAGTTCATAATCTCCTATAGTCGAAGTAAAACTTTCTGATTTCTTAAATACTTTTGGATTGAACCAATTGAATCACTATAGTATAGAAATCCACAAGAAAAAAAATATGGGTCCTGGCATCTTAAAAGAATTTTAAAATATACAATGTTCTATTATCAATTTACTCATATCACGAAATAATATTCTCTGATTATCATCTTGATATAGACCAATAAATTTCCGTGAATATATAGGTTAAAATATTAATTATAAATTTATGAGTGAACGATGGATAATCAAAAGTGCTTGAGGTGGTGATGATGATAAGTCAAATCCTTTCTGAATAAGTAAATTCTAGCTTGAGTATCCATACATGATATATAAGATCAAATACATAATGCTTTCTTTGCCAACTTCAAATAATTTGTATATTCTTGACCAAAAGGTAATTTCCAAAGTATTGGTATGATTACTTTACACCAGATTCGATTAACTAATAATGATAACAGGGATATCTGAGGAACTCTTCCTATCGATCACTTGTACCAAATATTCCTACAGTAGAGAAATACTATTTTTCACTGTAGTTACATATAAAACTTAGTTATTTTTCTATCTTTTTTACTCGTATGGATAAGAAAAAACATAAA